TGTTGATGGTTGACCCTCACAACAGCGGCGAACGTCCCCAAGTGATCCATTCAGAATTTGGATGTTCATATGTTGGACCAAAAAACCAGCTTCGTGAAAAAAGCCAAAAATCCAAACAACAGCGACCCTGACCGCCTTCATCCCGCGCCATGGGTGATCCGCCGGTGCCGGCTGCGGGAACCAGACGTCGCCAGCGTAGCCGGCCAAGTGGCCTTCCTGCTGGACAAACTTACGTAAGGTATTGCCTCAGAAATCGATGGAAAACGCATGACGTGTGGTTATAGGGGTTACCTGACTGCTCGGCACCCAAGAAGATCTCTGATCTGTTTCTCCAACTCTCAGCGATTGTCTTTTCTCAGCGTAGGCGTAGACATGCTCTTCGAGAAGATCCAAGACCTCCTAGAGAATTCCATGGTGGCTGAGCCTGTAATGTAGGGGCCTAGATAATTACCAATACTATTTTGGGGGCTGCTTATTATAACTATAGTATAAGGGGCCCCAAAACCCTATTCCAATTGCTGGAACCCCTATATTCACTGCTGAGGCTTCAGCTTGGAGGCTAAGGGAACTGGGTTAACCCACCTTAGGAGACTTCTAGCTCACGTCCTTGCCGATGTTACAGCGACTTACCAAGTTCCGTGGTCGGTTTCAGTACGGCAGAAGTTCTCAAGGCGTTCGGGATGGCGGCAGAGACGGCCTATGGCTTCGGGTCTAGAAGTGCGGGTCTCGGCCGGCTGTAGCATACGGCCGAAGGACTCAGAATCGAGATTCTGGATACGTCACATACTTTAGACACCTATCCTAGAAGTACAGCGAGACTGGGCTGCAAGTGAACACGCTATCAAGTTCGGAACCTGCTTGTCAATCCTGGGGCTAGTTCAACCCTTCGCTCGCGACGAGTGAACCCACTCTGTGAACCCCTTGGCAACATCGCGATTTCAGCTCTCACCCCAAGCAGTGAGAGCTTTCTTGAAGACAAAGTCTATACTTAGGGTTTAAAGGAGCTGCCAGACGACGTGCCGTCGCTTCTCGATGCCCTGGTAGACCCCCAATGCATCCCGAGTCGTCCACGGAGATCAGTAACACCTAATTCTCCACCCCCCTCCGATTCCCCAAACTCAGGGCCGTCGTGTCCTCGCATGCTTTCTTGACTGCCTCTGCATCACAGATCTTTCCCCGAGCTGTGTTGATCAGGTATGCCCCGCGCTTCATCGAGTAGATCATCTCTGCATTGAAGAGGTTCCTGAGGCATCTGAGTTTGGGGGTTTGCAGGAGCTGTTTTAAGCTACAGCCATCGCGAGAGTCACCATTATGGGATCGAGCCTTATGGTTCTCAGGTCGACGCACATCGAAAGCTCTATTTCTTCCACCTCGGTGCTCCGGGGCAAAGGCTTGCAAGATTTCCAACGCTGAGCCACAAATCTAGTTCATGCCAAGGACTTGACCTATACTTCGCGTTTACGGAAACAACCGAATGCGACCCAGTCGCCTCAGGTTGCGGGTCTCATGTTTGGCCCCAAAACCCTGAGCTCGAAAAGGCTTAAGACCCTTACACAACCCTTCGAACAGGAATCCTTAAAAAGAAATCCTGATAAACCCCTAAGCCCAAAAACAAGTGTAGAACTCAGGAACGCTGGAAGCAGGTGCTCCATGGTTTTTTTTTAATGGGTTACCTGCTTTCCTTGCGGTGGCAGCTCCCATTCTGCGATAGCTGACTCGGGCCGGTTCTCATGTGAGCTGCAAGCAGCACGATACCCTAAACCCTAAACCGAATAGCTTCCAAAACTGCAGGGTTCTCTCCTTTTTGGAGCCCCTGCCAGATACAGTCTTAAAAGCCTATGGGCGGTTTGGGGGTTAATATAGGGGGTTTAGGAAATAGAATTGAGGCCCCCTATATTACTTCAACTCTAAGCCCCTAAGCACTAAAAAACCTTAAACAATGGGCTTCTAGGTTTAGGGCTGCCAGGGTCTCCTTTGCTCTCCCTCGTCCTGGAAAGATCCAACAAGGACCTAAAAATGGCAACAACAATGCTTGGCTGACTTCTGAACCCTCCTAGAAGTTGAACTTTTAGCTCCGTTATAAGAGTTCATATAGCCCCCCACAAATTGTCAAGGAGCCAACCAGAAGAACGCCAAGAATGTCTTCAAAAAAGTAATACCAACCACTTATGGCCCCTGTTTAAATGCCAATCAACCCTGAGGAAGATTGAGGAGTGCGCTGGCCTTTGGTTGATGGTGGAACTAGTCTAGAGGATCATCTTGCAGGATGTACATGAGTGCTGGATCGAGGGCAGAAAACCCTTTGAGCTCCAGAATCCCGAAACCCTAAAAGCACTAGGTCCTTACACCAAGCTGACCCGTGGGAGAACAAAGGCCGCTGCATGTTTCGGGTTTGCAGTCGAGCTGCTCTGTCTCCGGATGAAGAGGGCAATTGATGGTGACAACGTCGCAAGCCTACTCCAATTGAGGAGGGAATGTCTGTAAAAGCGACCGCTACACTCAAAACCCTGAACCATAAAATAGGCACAATTTCATGTGAGCTACTCCACTTCGTCGCTGCAAGCCACGAAGACGAGCCCTCAATCCTGAAGCCAGACTCCCAGTTTCGGCATAATCGAGTGAACACATTCTTTGTCTTGCGTGTTTACACGTCATGGATGTTAGTAGTTCTGCATCTGTTGGGATTGTTGCTGCCTTTTAGAAATAGCTGTCGCAGCTTCCGTACGATGATGATTACCGTCACCACCGCGTTCAAAATCATAGCCTCGACCAATGCTGCTGCTGCTCCTCAGCACTAGCTTTTCAATGCTCAACAAGATGTCAGTTTCAAAAGTCCTGAAAATTAGTCAGTGTCAGGGTTCCGTTCTACATTGAACAACAAGAGGAATAAAAGGCTAGGCTATCTCAAACCGGTACCTAGTAAACAAGGGCCGTGCGCCTTGACCAGTGACTGCACAGAGTCATGGTAGGTCAAGTTGAGCTCCTGCTCGACCTTGTGCAGCTGGTTTTGATCGGGTTTAGGGTTTCGCCGGGTGAACCGGTTCAGGGCTCTATGATATCAGGCTGTATTTGGAGCTTCGGCGGCTGGGGGATAGGGTATAGATACGGGTCTAGGTTTAGCTGACGCAACCTGACACGATTGCTTGGGGAAGGGTTGCGTGCGAAACAGGAAGGGGTTTAGAATTGAGGGTGTGGCCTTTCTCAACAACTGCAAAGGACGCGACTTCAACTCATCGAGCAACAGCTGGAATTGCCGAAAAACTTTAACCTGTTACGTACAGCTCAAAGGCTTTTGTTGCATGCTACTTTCGCCCCCGCTAGTCGCGCAAAGAGGCCGGGGATTTCTAGGAGGACAACTTAAATTGCTAGCCAGCCATCTGCATAATTTCGCGGACAGACTAGACACTGTACGTTAATGTAGGGGCCTTGATAAATAGAACAGGGCTTTGGGCTCCTGTATAATATAAATATAATAAGGAACCCTAAGGAATGACATTGGTAAGTATTTAAGCTTCTATAGTACTAAGACTCAAGTTGGTCCAGCTTGCCTTTGGGGGCTGGCAGGGCTCTACAGTCCAGGCCTTGTTATCAATGAGGGTGCTTGCAATAATCCCGAAGATTTCGGAAACCATGGGACACTCAACTAGAGCCTACAAAACAAAGTCTTTTACGGAGCGGACACCTAAATGAGGTAAACCTATGGGTAGTTGTCAAAATGATGGTACCTTTTTTTGGGGTACCCTAAATAATAGGTGCCGTATTATAATAAGGACCCACAAAAGGACCATAATTTTGACAACCACACATATGGGTGGACCTCTCAAGCTTCCTTTGCAGGTGGAAAGGGCGCTTTCGGGCAGCCGATGCTTGTCGTAGTAGTGGAGGACGGTGTCGAAAGGCTTGAGCCTTTGTTCAGAAATTTCGGGCTTCGGCATTAGTGTGGAGTTGGGACATACGGTCGGGGGCTGAAGGCTGAGGGCATTCGGCTTAGCTTTTGAAGTGTGGTGGAAAATACTGCCTCCAATAGTCTGGCTTTTGCGGTGTGACAATGTCATCAGGATTACAAGAACATTTAGGAGTTTGTGACAAGAAGGGTCGAAGGGTCCTTTGTTTAGAGGCTCTCTTATCCTAAAGATGCCACTAGGGTTCCATAGTAGAGTCCTCGATTATCGGAAGCTCCCATGTGGTTTCGGCACTGCTGTACTAAGCTCCCCAGCTGTTATATTCATTCGACTTGATGAGGAGACTCCTTAACAAAACAGAAAGGAACGCTGCGGGGGCCAAAGGGCACTACTGGCAGACCTGGCCCGCGTTGTTTTGGAGCCTATAGTATCGCAAGGTACCTTTAACAGGAACCACGTTAGGGAATCTACTGGCATCTGGGCCTACACCAAGGGACCCAACGTAGGAATCTGGTTCAGAATACTTGGGTTTCAGCAGAGCCTTCTCCGAAATAGGATCCATACTGAAAGCCCTATGAAGGGGTTTTCATAGCCAAATACCTCTACCATGCCCCAACCTCCAACCAAAACCTCTGGAGCCTCTTGAAGACCCTGTGAAAGCCCGTGAAATCTAGAAGAACAAGCTGAAGCTCCCGGAACCCTTCATCCCGAAATGCCACAAGACGAAACCGACTCTACAGCGCGTAAGCCCTCAACCCTCAAACCCTTCTTATCCCGGAGGGTCCGAGTACCCAACTAGTAAGGTTTTAGGTCCCCAAATCCATACTCTGAATGGTTTTTGGACCTTGAAACCTTACTATTTGGGTACTTGGACCCTTAGGGTCAGGCTCTTCGAGGTATTCGGACCCCTGAGGGTTTGGGGTCTCAGGGTGTGGCTTTTTGCGACTGCCATGCGCGCGCACGAGAGAGCTTAGGGTTTTTAGAGTCAGAGACAAGCCAAAATGCATGCCGGCACAGCCTCCCTAAACCCTGAACCCGAAACCCTATACCCTAAACCCTCATCGAACATTCAGCCTCGATCTGTCGTAGGAGCCGGGCAAGGATCACGGTGGGCCGGCCCCCAGTCTCTGCATTCTTCTCAGCCTGCGAAGCTTTAGGGTTTAGGGTTTAGGTTTCAGGGGTTAATTCAAGCAGCCGGTAACAAGGGGGCTGTGAAGGTGGAGTTTGGGGTTTAATGCTGTGAAGGTGGAGTTTGGGGTTTAATGCTGTGAAGGTAGAGTCTGGGGTTTGATGCTGTAAAGGTAGAGTTTGGGGTTTGATGCTGTGAAGGTAGATTTTGGGGTTTGATGCTGTAAAGGTAGATTTTGGGGCTTAATGCTGTAAAGGTAAAGCTCGGGGCTTTAAGTTTGGTTAAACCTCACCCTAAACCACGAAACCCGACAAGACAGTGGCAACCCTAAACCCTAAACCCTAAACCGAGTAGTAGGACCGTTGGTCTCCGCCAAGGTGCCACACCAGAGCACAGCCGAAATAATGGCACTCTAGGAGGCGCCAACTTCAGTTCTATAGAGCTTAGGGTTCTTATAAGGGTTCCATAAGGGACTCATAAGAAACCGCTCATTGGCTGCAGGGCTACAGCTTTCGAGTTTAGGGCGGATTGTTTCTCAAAGCATCCGCTGCAAAACGGAGAAGGGCGCGTGCACATCGGTCGCGAGTAGAAGCTGCAGCACACTGAATCCTTAACTCTATTAACCCCCTAAACCCTAAACCCTAAGCCCTAAACCCTAAACCCTAAACCCTAAACCCTAAACCCTAAGCCCTAAGCCCTCAACCCTAAAGCCTAAGACTGAACGGGAATTCCCGAAAACACGGGAAAGCCGCAAGACGCTCCATCTTCTGAGCTGGAAGCCCCACCTGCAGCATGGCCGAGTAAATCTTCTTGTGGTCGTGGCCTTTCAAAGCGGCAACAGCAACGTAGGAGGGAGCTACTGGGATTCTGCTCTAGTGGAGGAGGGAATAAGGTGACTACCAAGAAAGTAAACCCTAACACACTTAACATCCTCAGACCCCGAAACCTAAACCCTGGCCCCTAAACCCTGCGATCCAATGTTTGAGGGTTTAAGGGTTTAGGGTTTAGGGTTTAGGGCTAATCAGAACAATCAGTTGGTTCTGGTATCAGCGTTTTCAACCCTGAACCAATATTAATATTAACCATGCAATGATACTATACTTTAACCCCAAACCCTGCTTTGAAGCACCCTTAACCCTAAACCCTAAACCCTAAAAATATTGAACTTCTTGGAATCACTTGAAGGTTCGGGCTACGCGAAGACTTTTGCCCCAAGCTCCGCAACCGAAGGGCTAGGGCTTTAGGGTTTAGGGGTTCAGGGGTTCAGGGTTTAGGGTTTAGGGTTTGGGGTTTAGGGTTTAGGGTTTAGGGCTACCGGGTTTCAAGCTTTTGGGGTCTAGGGCCTGCAATCGCAAACCATTCTTAAAAAAAGAAACGCTACCTAGTTGGAGGCGCAGGCCTCGGGGTCAGCGGGAAGTCGCCACGCAACCTGATCCTAAATCCTGCAAAGCCAGAAAGCCCTCACACCCTATGCCTAAACTTGGAAGTGAACCCCAAGAAATGCGTGAACCCGCAACTCGAAACACGCGACCCCTTATCCAGCCCCAACCTAAAACCGTCATTATCCTCAAACCCTGAACCCCGATTCCGCCACTCGGGGATCAGTTACCAAGCGCCCGGCCGCCCGGGAGCATGAACGCCGACCTCAGAATCGCTGATTTACTACAGACTACAACGCCTCTGCTGAGGCCCCAAATGAACTCCTACACACCCCAAACCGAAGGCCTAGAACGCATGCAGGAGCTCATCATCATGTTTAGGGTGTAGGGTACCCTAAACCTGATACAGGAGCCTTAGACCTCTACAGCTGCTTGAATCCAGGAGCAATAATAGCATTCCTAACTTTTCAAGCCCCTGCACTACACCCCTAAACCATAAACCCTAAACCCCAAACCCCTAAACCCTAAACCCTAAACCCTAAACCCTATGAACTAAGCCCTATGCAGTCGAAATACAGGAGCTCAGCATCCTCCGAGGCGTTGCACCCCAAGCCCGAAACCCCAAACCTTAAGCCTAATACCGGCCGAACTGATTACCATACTATCTTCGGGGCTCCTTATTATAGATATAATCTTTTTAAAGGGTCCCTTTATAGGTCCCCAGTACTGTTGATGGACAAAATTCTGCATGACCCAAAAAGAGTAAAGTACCATAAATCCCATAGTTTAGGCATATAAGGTCATGCAGGATTTTGTCCATCAGCCGTATCTTAGGGGCTCCTTATTATGAATATAGTATAATATGCCCCAAAGCCCGATTCTAATTATTAAGGCCCCAACACTAAACGCGTAAAGCCCTGTGAAACTACCGAAAGCTTATACTCAGACCTTCCAATACCCCTTGCTTGAGCAAGTAAATCACATTAGGGATCCGACTATCATCTGAAGTATATTCCTGTATTGCAGGATATTGGACGGTCCATATCAGCCTACAGTCACTCATACAGACACATTTTTCGCCAAAACTCCGTGAAACATTTTAAATCGGTATAGGGCTTAGCATTTAGGGTTCATCAACCCCTTGAATCGAACCCCAAATACCAAACCCTGAACCCTAAACCCTGAACCTTAAACCAAACCCCTTGGGAAACACATGGGGGGCATCATCCCTAAAACCCGAAACCCCAAGGCCCACAGACCCTAAAGCTGACTCCTAGTGTCGGGCTGGGGGTTTCGGGTTTATTAAGGGTTTAGGGTTTAGGGCTTAGGGTTTAGGTTTTAGGGTGTAGGGCTTAGGTTTTAGGGTTTAGGGTTTAGGGCTTGGGTCACAGCCTCGTTCGACGTCTTTGAATACGAGACTGTTGGGCTCAGTAGGCCTTATTAAAACCACACCAACCAAGCCCCCAAGTGGTTTGGGGCTGAGGGTTTAGGGTTTAGGGTTTAGGGTTTAGGGTTTAGGGTTTAGGGTTTAGGGTTGCAGGGTACGCCTGGGGTCAACGCAGGAGCTCATCATCCGACATGTGGGCCACGCGGTCTGCTAGCCCATTGGCCTCTCGGCAGAATTCGGTGCAGCGCTCGTCGAGTAACGGGAGACTAAATCCCAAACCCTTCACCAGCGACTGATGCGGGTGTGGAGTTTTAAGTTTCGGATTTGGGGTTTAGGCTTTATGTCTAGGGTGTCGGGTTGCATGACTGTCTCGTGGGCATGGTCAGTGAGAAGTGGCTTTCAGCAGGGCACCTGTGGTCATCAGTCGTGTTGAAAGTCTTTGGCTTTGGAGGCCTATAGGTATTCAGGATATCCTACCTATAGCCTCCATTGATTTTTGGGGATACCTTGTAAAATCCTTAACAGATAGTTGGTTAAACCAAAAACACGGAGCTACAATGGAGACTATAGGTAGAGAGCATGTGGGTGTCGAGGCACAAGGATGTCCCTAAGAAGAGCTAACGCAACACCTGCACAAGCTTGCAGGCAAGGCTGGAGGCAGGTGGGGCAAGTCTCCGGGCCTCTCAAGAACTGCCACGACCACTCTGGGAAACATACGGGTAGTTTTCCAAATTAGGGTCCCTTTTTAGCGTGTGGCTCG